TATTTTTCTATTCTACTGTTTTTTGTTTGTTATTGGTTGTTGCTATTGCTGTAGTTGTACTGGGTATTGAGCCTAGGGGTTTTGTTCAGGGTTGAATCAGAGAAGAAAAATAAGCACACCCCTCCAGGGTTGAGTCTGAAGATCCACGCTTACAACTACAGGTAGGTGAGCCATTTTGCCTAGAGGAATAAACAGAAGAAAGAATCTTTTAGGAGGATGCGCTGAAGTCCCTGGAGTTCTTTAAAGAAGTGAGTTGGGGTTCATGGAAAGGCTACATCCCTGGTCCATTTTTACTTTATATTTTGAGACAGGTCCTCCTTTAGTTTCCTTAGTACTTGGGATTACCTGAGGCCCAACTACTTTAAGTTTTAAAAGTTATTTATTTGTATTTTATGTGTGTGTCTTACCTACATGTATGTAAGTGTACCACATGTGTGCAATACCCAATGAGAACAGAAGAGGGCCTCAGATCCCTTGAAATTGGAATTACAGATGGTTGTTAGTCACCATGTGGGTACTGGAAACACAACTCAGTGCTCTTGACTGCAGAGCCATCTTTCCAGCCCCATCTACTTTAATTTTGTGTGGAGACTTGTTTTAGGTATCTTTGAGAATCTATTTATCTCAAACACCATCAATATCATCTTTCTAACATCCTTTATGCTTGTAACAAACGAGCCACCATTTTCCCTCAGTAAGTTCTTGTCTAGCGCTCTTCCAGCTGCTAGCAGAGCCCAAGGCACTTGGGGAGGTAAATGTGAACCATATACTTTCAAATCAAGATTCTTTACTCCATGGACTGTCCTTTGGAGAGAGTAATCCTGGCAAGCACAGAGGACCATCCTTCTGGTACTGTTTGAAAAGAGCATGCCATTGTCTGGGCTGAAGTACTTAACAAGAAGAACCAGACTTGGGAATGTGGTTTTTAAGTCTTCTTTCCAGATCACATTTGCCACTTCAAACACCCTGGTGACCACATGCCTCGTTGCTGTGCAAGTTCATTGCAAGTGGCCTTCAGACCGCTGGTAACCCCAATGCTGGACTGTACTCACGTACAAGGAGATAGGGGAGGGTCAATCTCCCCATGGAAATCTGATAGGTTATTTCTCAGTTCTCTGAGCAGCAGCACAGACAGGCTTTCCTGAGCAGCTCTAGAGCATCTACAAGTGGTCACATCTCCCCTGGAACCGACCATATTTCGCTCAATGATACCCAGACCTGCTTCTTCCTTTTCCTCCTTCCCTTCCTCCCTCCTTCCATTCCTCCCTCTCCTCTTTCCTAAATTCTTTTTTTCAAGACTAGAGGTCAAGCCCAAGGTCTTGTGTATGCTAGGGACATCTCTGCCACTGAGCCACACACCAACTTCCGAATAGCTTCTTTTAGTTTCCCTTGGGGTTTTTCAGCTTTCAAGCATAATTGACCAAAAAAAGGGTAAATATTTATGGTGTGTACAATATTACATTGTAAAGTGGTAGAAGCAAGCTAAATAACATATCACTTGTGATTTTTGTGATGAGATTATTTACGATCTTAGTGCTGGGGCAGGTGTCCCAGCAGACTCAAGCCTCAGGGCAAAGGAACAGAAAAGTGGGCTGTAGGCAGTGGTTACCACAGTGGGAACAGCTTCAAAAGAAACTGAAAAACCCCAGCTGAGTGAAATCCCCCAGCTGAAGAAAGTAAGAGAGCAGCAGGTGGCCTGGAATAGACAGGTACTACCTTACAAGTTTCCCTAGCTAAGCAAAGACAGAGCCATTTGGACCTGATTATGTACTTTTGGTGGGCTGGTGGGGGGACTAGGGGGCAGTTTCTTCCCCTCCTCCACCAGATTTGACCACTTGTCCCTGGTTGGTCCTATTTTTCCACCTCATTTGCATGCCCTTAGTCAGTCAATAAGGGCCCAGCTGGGTCTAGGACACCTGAAGCTTTTGCCCAAAGCCACGGAACTTACTTGACACTGGAGGCAGCATGGACCCATTCCTGCCTTATCCTCTGAGCTGTCACTTTTTGGCTGTGATGGGAATTCATTTCCCCAGCAGCTTCCAGCCTCCAGACCCACCACTTTACAGAGTTGCTGCTTCAGATATCTGTGAGAAGTTTAAGACTTCTCAGACAAACCTGTACCTGCTCTCTGAGAGTATCCTGCTGCCCTGCTTCATTTTTTATCTGGTTTTAAGGTCGTTAATCCAAATTAGTAATAAAGTACCTCTGGTTTGTACTCTGTGTTGTCTTTAGGTGGCTGGGACAAGAATCTAGGTAGGGCAGAAGTCTCCACAGACCACCTCACTGGCAGTTTTCTGGTATACATTAGTAACCAAATCCTGTACTGTACAACAAGTTGCTAAAACTTATTCTTCTTTAAGATAGACCTTGCACTGGACAGCTTTAGTTGTCAACTTGACACACCTGGGTAGAGAGAACCTCAAATGGGGAATTGCCTCCATTGGACAGGCCTGTGGCCATAGCTGTGGGTTTTGTTTTTTTTTTTTTTCTTGATTTTTGAGTGATAAGGGAGGGCCCAGCCCACTGTGGGTAGGTTGTTCTGTGTTGTATAAGCAGGCTGAGCATGGGCCAGGGGAGACCAACCCAGTAAGCAGCGTTCCTCCTTGGACTGCTTCAGCTCCTGCCTCCAGGTTTCTGCCCCGAATTCCTACCTTGGGCTCCCTCAATGATGAACTGTGACCCGGGAGATGTAAACCAAATAAACTCTTTCCTCCCCAAGTTGGTATTGGTCAGAGTATTTTGTCACACCAATGGAGAAACAAGCTAGAACTAGGCTTTATGTAGTCCTGGCGGGTCTTGAACTTGCTAAATAGTGAAGGATGACCTTGAGCTCCCAATCTTCTTGTCTCTACCTACAGGTGTGCCTTGCCACACCTGTTTGTTTGAGATAGTCTTACTCTGTAGTCCAGGATGGCCTCAAATTCTTGTAATCCTCCTGCTTTAGCTTTCCTAGTGCTGGAATTACAGGCATAACTCACCACACCTGGCTTAACTGAAGCCTTGACTAGGATCTCCCCATTGCCTCCCCTATGTTCTTCCACGCCTGAGACAACCTCTGCTTGGTTGATATTTCTCCTGCTTTTCTTTAAATGCATGACAAGACAGACATGCTGACAGGAAGCTTGCTTCTTCTTGAGTAGTCACTTACCTGGAAACAGTTGACTGAATCAGAGAGGAAAAGTGTGTAAGAAGCACATCCTTCTCCCTGGGGTGGGCCTGAAGGACCACATTCACACCTCAAGGTAGGCAAGACATTGCTGAGAGAGATAAACAGGGAGGGGCCTTTTAGGATGACACCAAAGGCCCTGGAGTTCTTCCAAGAAGTGAGTTCATGGTAGAAAGCTAAGGGCCCTGGGCTCTATCCCCAGCACTGCAAAATAAAACAAACAAATGAAAGTAGCTTTGTGGGCTGAATGGGGGACAAGTTAGCTCTCTCCTCGCTTTCGGATGGCAGACAATAAAGCTGCAATCGATAACTTGTAATGAACAGAAGTTTTGGTTAAGTGAAGTTTCTGGTATGCCCAAGAATATGTGCTTTGAGTTTCAAACATTCCTCATAGTTGGCATATAGCTGAGTAGTAGAGTATTTGCCTAGCATGTACTTGGATTGAACCCCAGCACTACAAAACAAAACTAAGAAATACCATCATCACCAAAATCCCACCAAAAAACCCTGAAACAACCAAAACCAAAACCAACCAACCAAACACACACCACCCTGAGAAGTCTGTGTGAGATGCACTCCCCTCCCTTCCTTCCCTCCCCTCCCTTTCCTCTCCCCCTTCCCCTCCCCCTCCTCCTTCTCTCCTCCTTTCCCTCTTCCTCCTTTCTAAAAGACAGGGCCTCCTGTAGTCCAGACTGGCTGCAAACTAGCTATGTAGCCAAGGATGACTTTGAACTTCCAATCCTCATGCCTCTACCTCCTGAGTGCTGGGATTGCAGGTGTATGCCACCACACTCAGTTTATGGGGTGCTAGGGATTGAACCCAAGGCTTCATGGATGCTAGGCAAACACTCTACCAACTGAGCTACATCCTCAGCCCCTGAACCTGCAAGTGTCATCGGCTTACTTGCCTTTCTCCCAGTGCTTGAAGATGGGCAAGATGACTTCCTTACATGCCAAAGTGGCAGAGACCATATCTGCACAGGCTTTTTAAAAAAAATCTTTTTAGTTAGCAAGTAGGCATATGCCAGGAGAGTGAGCATATAGTCATTTGCAGCCCTTCATGTACTTGCAAAGGAAAAAATCAAAAGCTGAAAACTTATGTACGTTTTTAGAATTGAGGGGCTTTAAGTTAAAAAAATATTTTGGGGCTGGCAAGATGGCTCGGCAGGTAAGGTGCCTGCCATATAAGCCTGAAAACCTGAGCTTGATTCCCAGAACCCATGTAAAAGCATCAGGAGAGAACTGACTCCGCAAAGTTGTCTTTTAACATCCACATGCATGGTCCCCGCCCCAATATAATTATTGTGTGTGAGCATATTATAATGTATATGTGTGAGTGTGCATGCTAAAGTGCACATGTGAAGGCCATACTTGCATGGCCAGTGCCTTTACCTGCCGAGCCACCTTGATTGCCCTTGTTCTGCTTTTGAAATAGTTTCACTATGTAGCCCAGGCTGACTTTGAACTCACCGTTCCCTTGCCTTAGTCTCCTGAGTACTGGGATTACCGGTATACCCTACTACTTTGGGTTTAGGTTTTTAAATTTGAGACAAGGTCTCATGTAGCCCAGGTTGGCCTTGAACCCACTGTGTAGCTGAGGAAGACTTTGAACTTCTCATCATTCTGCCTCCCTTCCTGAGTGCTGAGATTACAGATGTCTACTACCATGCCTAGTTTTATATGATGCTGGGGGAATGAATCCAGGACTTTGTGCATGTGATACTACCTCCTGAGTTACATTTTGAGTTTCTAGTGAAAAAAGAGGCAAAACGTTTCACTGGTGCCCAGGTACCACTGATAAATGAGAGAGAAAATCCTTGTTAGGAATGAGAAGTAAGATTTAACGTCATCGTATTTATTAGGTTTTGGAACAATACACATTCACATCCTTTTGAATACAGTACATTTGGCACAATAATGTTTACAATGAAATAACACTAATGTATGGCAAGAGATTAAAATTACACCCAGAAAAGAAAAAAGTATAGAAATAAAGCATCACAATACAAAATAAAACCCCTAAAATTGGATACATTTTATATTTAGCCAGAATTATTTTGCACATAATTTAAAAAGAGGTAATTTTTTAGCCTTCTTTTATTTTTTAAAGCAAGAATGCATGATGTTTCGCCTTTGGAGGAAAAACAATTATGGTTCTACTTCACAGAGTCCATAATGCAAACAAGAACAGCTACCATCCTTCATGTATTTTATTTATTTTTTTGGCATTGTTTTTTGTACTCCATTTTTTTTTCTTTAAAGGAAAGAGAGTGAGAGAGCTGGAAGGATTATAAAGATCTGGCAGAAATGTATCAGTGTGGCCACTTCCTAATTTATTTCATTTTGTGATGCTGGGGATTGAACACAGAACTTTACATGAGCTAGGCAAGAGCTCTACCACTGAGCCATGCCCTGTGTGTCTAAGTCCTTGTTGAAAGGAAACAGTATATAACCAAGGAACACACAAGGCATAGCTCTCTACTGGATCCAAATCTGCCTTTGTGAGAGTGGCATTGGCTGGAGGCTTCCCGGCCAGCTGGGTTTTGGGTGCTGAAAGGGAGTCAGGGGCTGACTACCTAGAGCTGCCGGTGGAATGTATTGTTTGATTTCCCAGCAACAGTGCCAGTTGTCCTGAAGGAAGGGCCTAGCCCCTACTGCCATGTGAACACCACCAAGCCCTGGGACAAGGCCACTTGAAATTGGCCTTGGTGGTCCAGTGTTCACAATGGTAAAGGAAACAGGAGCGTGGGCAGGGGTGGGGGATGGGAGGTTATGCGTGAGTATGATGGGCATATTGTCACATCTTCCTAAAAAATGAGATGATGCCACCGTGAAGATGTTTCTGTGCTTGTATCCCACTCCAGAAGATAGTCTGCCCCGAGAATGGCAAGTCACCAGAGATAAAGTAAATTAACCCACTGTTCTTCATCACTTCCCTGGTACGCCAAACATATGGATTGATACAGCATAGTATTTAATATCTGCAATCATCATAAGAACAGATCATAGTTACACCTGAGTTTTTTTTTCTTTTAAAAAAAAAAAAGAAGCAAAAGAGAACTGAAGGTCATCATCAGGAACAAGGGCTATGACCAGCCAGATGCAAATAGGGACACACCTACTATGGGCTCAACATAGTCACTGTCCAAGTTTTGAAACCACTATGGAGAACATTCCTTTCTGTCTCCCATCTCTATCAAGATATAATAGAACACAAGAGAACTGTGTGTGAGATTTAATATAGCTTAAGATATGGTTACTTCTTTTAAACCAAAGGGAAATAAACAATATAAAGGACCCCAACCCTCCCTAGAAAGGAGCAAACCTCTCTTGGTAACTTGAACCAACACGCTGATAGAGTATTGCACCTGGACATTATTATAGTTATTCTTTCATAGACTAAAGTTTTATAATATGCCTGAACATGCAGCAGTTGATACCTCTATATTCAATGAATTAATTCCACAGGCCTTGCAGCAAACACTATATACAAAAATCTCAAATGTACAAAAGACAAAAAGCTTCATTAGTGCCACTTTGCCACTCACAAGTATATATATTTAGGGGCTGTTGGGAAATCCACGTGCAACAGTTGGAATGGATTCCATTCCCTGCTAAATCAGTTCAATAAAATAGGTAATCAAATGACCTTCAGGGAACATACACATAAAGCCACAGAGAACCCTTGGAAATCAAAGAATTTAACACTGTTAGCGTTATCTACAGGAGGTAACATCAAGTCCATTAAATAGAGTCCACATGAGTTGCCATCACAAAACTCCAGGCACATCCTGCCACCTTGTAAGTCTTCCAACGGTTGCTCTTCCATCTCCTGACACCCTCTGCCTAACCCAGGCTGAGCTTCATTGCTTTTGTTCCCAAAGCAGATATTTCATAGTTCACTCTACATGTTGAATGTTTCAAACCACAACACAGTGGTTTTGTAGAAGTGAGGAAAAAAGAAATCACGCTGCTGTGGAAAATAAATAGCATTTGTGCTGGGAACTTAGGACAAAACTGGAGAGAGAATTAGAGCTGAGTTTTGCAGGAACCTCGGGGTCTTGGCTATCGCTCTGGTGGCCTTTGTGCTCAGGGAGAGCTCCCATGATAAGCCCTAGTTTCTTTATTTCTCTGTTCACGTAGCCCTCACGTGTCACTAAAGTATGGACAGCATAAACTTTGGATGACTGGATTCTCACTGTGTATTAGCCCTTTAATATCTACCTACATTCACACTGGGATTTCTATCTTTTGGCCAATTAGAAATTTATTTTTTGAACTGTTAATAGAGTTCAAAATCAAAATGCTTTTGATTTCTTCAATAAAGAGTGATTTCATTCATGAGATACAAACGTCTATGACTTTGGCATGCTCAAAAAAGCCAAAACCAAAGCAAGCAAGAATGTGCCATTCCAGAGCAAACTGACACAGTCAGTCAGTCTAGACATCTCTCAGGCTCCCCCCATCAAGGGTGTGCCTCGAGGCACCTGCCCTTGCATGGAAGAAGCACCAGTCTCTTCTGGACAGAAGGGCAGGGAAGGCAGGCTGGGAGATAGGAGGGATGAGAAACGAGAGATGTCAGGATTCTCTGCCCAGTGGCAGAGCCAGAGTCTTCTTGTTGGAGTTTTTTTTTTTTTTTCTCTTTGCAGTGAAAGAACAGAAGTTGCTTCACAAGCAAGAGCCCCAGGAATGGAACCAGGGTTGCAGATGGACGGACGGACAATCCAAACCCCTGGCAGTGTGCACAGCTATCTGCAGACTCAAGACTATATTCCTGGTGAGTCTGTACTCAAGAGTGCCTTCTGGTCACTGGAAGTGGGGGAGGGATGTGGCCTGGGGTGAGGGAATGCAATAAATAAAGAATGGACATGGGACTAGGGCTCCAGGGAGGAGAAATAGTTCAACACCTTCTGAGCCTCTGCAACATGAGATCTTCTCAGCACCCTCCTTGCAGCATCAGCTAACTCTACCTGAAGCAACTTCTCAGGGCATCAGGTCTTCGCCAAAGTAGGAGAAGCCTTTGAATTCCTCCTGGTTGATCTGCTTTACTATTGCTTCATCCACAAGCGTGAGTACCGGCTCTTCCCGGGTAAAGTCTTGGTCAAAGTTATTGACATCTCTTTTGGTTTTCTGTGGAGAGAAAGGAGAAAGAGCTAAGTGGAGGCTCACCTCCTTCCTGAGAGCCCCCCATGGGGAGTGGACATCGAGGTGACCAGCCTCTCATCAAAGCAGGCCTCTAGCTACTACTGGGAGCAGATACATGGCTGTTCCAATGAGGTAACGATGGATGGCCCCAGGACCCAGAAGTGAGAGGAAAAGAACAAGAATGAGTCAAGGTGAGAAGGAGAGGGGTGTGTGGGTATGATGGAAAAGCAGGGAAGTGGGATTCCCACAGGCTGAGGGGCATGTGTGTGTGTGTGTGTGTGTGTGTGTGTGTCTGGGGAGAGTGGGACATACAGCTTCCATTGACATTCCCTTGTAGCATCTGCCACAACTGTCCATCTCTATGGAGATGTCCTTCCCTGTGCCCAGAGGACAAACTTAAATCCACCTCCCCAAAGTCTTCAGTGCTTTTTCTTCCCTTGGAGACAGACCTTAAAGTCTGCCTTGTTCCATATGACCTCTCTGAGTAGGAGGGTGGGCCAGGGGCAGGACATCTGGGAAGCCTGCCTGGACTCCTATCTGCTCTCACCATGACCTTATTTTATGCTCCCATTTATTGGCTATTATCACAACACAACACACTGGCTTGCTATGATGTATTTATGGTTTTGTCTAGAACAGGAGTTCCTTGTTTTAGTCAACTGTAGGTTCCCAGCAGTTTCCCCACAATAAGAAATCATCAACTGAATGAAGTAAGCAAATCTACTCATTCACCAGCTCAGAAGGACACACACCCAAGTGGATGTTCAAATTCCCAAAGGAAGTCTGTAGGGCATCTGGTTTCTAAAGGGGGTAGCAATCAATCATCTCATGTATCTTGGATTTTGGAAAGGATCAGGAAGTGTCAATAATATGCTATCGTTAATGGCTTATATATGAGTCAGAAAGTCAGTATGTCTATCTGGCACACATTGCTTTAGCTAGCAAAATATCCATAGAGAAGTCAGGGTTTGGCTAAGACCTGAAGAATGAGTTACAGTTGTGTTGGTAGAGATGAGGGGAAGGCACTTGGGCAGGGAGGAAGACGGGACAGAGGCAGGAGGGCAGGAAAGGCAACATGGATACACAGGACAGTGGGTATGCCAAGATGCCTGAGGCAGAGCTCAGTGTAGGATGCTTGGGAGGTAAGGCTGGAGTTAGGGCACAGAGGCCTTCAATACCAGGCAGGTCCTTGGTATGAAGCATGATGGTGGGAAGGCTGGAGCCTTCCAGCAGTGCTTCTTTGGACACCAATAAACTGGTACTATATAGAGTTAATGACCTGGATGATGGGATACTCCTTTGGAAGGGTAACAGGAAAAATACTATTAAGACATACTATGCTCTAGTGGAAACTTGTAACTTGAAAGATGCTAATAAGTAGCCATGACAAGAGAATGGTTTTGAGACAAAGCTGTATCTTATATTTGCTCCTGGAGTTGCCATGTATGTGAGCAAATTAAAGTCTCTGAGAACTTCTAGAGGAATGATATCTGGTCCATTTTGTTTGGGATAGACTTCCTCAAACTTGACATAAAACCTTTTCTCCCTGAATAGTTTATTAACACCTTTCCCCAAGAGGAAATTCTACAGGGAAGTTTGGGAAGTGCTGCTTCATAGTTCACAGAGCATCCCCACATTCATTTGCTCATCAGATCTTTGGAATAGGCAAGTATTTTAATCCCAGTTTAGGGAACTGTGATTCAAAGGGGTTTGGTAGCATGGCCAGAGTCACCCAGCTGGAAAAGATCAGAGCCAAAACCCAAATCCAGGTCTGAGCATGATGCCTCCCATGGTGTGGAAGTTCTGGAGATGTGGACCCTGGAGAAATGGAATGGCATACATAGTGAGGGTCAAGTTCAACGAGAAGACATTTAGAAAAAGCCAATAGGCTTTTAAAATTTTTATTTTAAAATAAAGCCAGAAAGGTCTGGAACAGAAAACACAGTGGGAGAGAGCTATGCATCATGGAGAGACGGTGTAGCATGGACTGGGGAGCTGGCAGAGGATCCAGCCAAATGGTCCAGATTGGCTAGAATGATGGGCAGAAGGGAGCAGGGATGAGCTAGTCTTTCCTGTCTTCAATATGATCAGTATTGCTGGATGCCTTCTCTCTGGGTTTGGGCTGCATAGTTCAGATCTCAGAGACAGTGAAGAAAAACAGAGGGGACAAAGAAAACCCAAAGGTTTTCCAGAAACAGGACTTGTGGCTAAGGAATATCTGTGTTACCCTTGAGATGGGGAGCTCAAGGGTAGTTTGGTCTTCTCTGACAGGAGGGCTGGCCTAGGGCAGGACTAACTGTTCTCCTTCCTCCAGGGGGTAGAGAGCCAGGAGGAAAGGGAGGGCCTGTGTGAAGGGGGACTTCAGAGAGGAACAACAAAGCTGGTCTCCAGGGTGATACACACTGCCTGTGAGAGGGTGGTGACTGGGGACAGGGTGTGTGGCATGGAGGGATCAGAGAGCTAAGGATAGGGGGAGCTGTGCTGGGTGAAGGCTGGCCAGAGGGAGTAGCAGGTAGAGAAGTAGTGGTAACAACTTGGGAAGCACTGGACATGGTCTTAAAGGGCAACCGGGTGGCATCTCCTTGGGGCTGGAGTGGATAGTTACCAGAGGAGGATGAAGAAGAGAGCCAAGGAATAGGACTGGAGGAAAAGTCCATTTGGAATATACCTAAGGATAAGCCATGAATAGCAGGTCTCTTGTATTCTTGGGCAGAAATGCCTCCTTCCTGGTATACCCTTTCAGCTAGCTACTAAGGAGGGCAGGATGTATTAAACCTCAGAAAACCCATGAACTCCCTGGCATTGGCTGTCCTTATTTACTTAATTGTTTGTGTTTCACCAGTCATCAGTAACTGATGAGAGTCTATTAATCATAGAAACTGGTTTGCTTTCTTGAGGGCAATGGGGCATAGCAATGGAGCTAGATGCTACAGTGTCTGGACTTCACTGCTCACTGATTATATACTTTGAGAACCAGGCTCATTTGATACATCTAAGGGGTGTCAATAGTATATGCTAGCTTGGAGAGTCATTTAGCTCAGATCTGGGTTTCTTGGAGGAAATTTCAGAGTCATCTGAAGGCATCTGAGACAGTATGTCATTTTATTTTTCCTCCATCAGGATGTCTGGAAATTCTGGGGATCAAACCCAATGCCTCACATGTGATAGGCAGATGCTCAACTACTGAGTCATGTCCTCAGCCCAGAGAATGCCATACTTGGTGAACTCTACAGATTGGCTCACTTACTCCTTGCACAGTTTGGGTCTTGGCCCCATTTTCATCGGGTACATTTTAGGTGCATGTTAATTTCCCACTTCTCACAGTTCCATGGGCTACAGTTCCTGACTGTTAACACTGTAGGCCCGGAAGTTTCCCAAAACACCCTGTCCCCCTAACACTGGCATATAGGGCATAGCATCTCCAAGTTTAGAAAGGACTGAGATTGTCCCCTTTCCTCACTGATTTCTTTCTTTCTTTTCTTTCTTTTTCTTTCTCTCTCTTTCTTTCTTTCTTTCTTTCTTTTTCTCTTTCTTTCTTTCTTTCTTTTCTTTCTCCTTCCTTCCTTCCTTCCTTCCTTCCTTCCTTCCTTTCTTTCTCTCTCTCTCTCTCTCTCTCTCTCTCTCTCTCTTTCTTTCTTTCTTTCTTTCTTTCTTTCTTTCCCTCACTGATTTCATTCTTTGAAATACCATTGCAATCCTCAGAGCAGACCCAACACTCAACTCTATAGCTCCAAACCAGACTTTCAGATACTGTGTACTGTGGTCCTTGGTTGGTCCATATACCTTCCCAGTGCCCACACTGTGCAGCCTGAGAAGTGACACTGGATATATGAAGCAACATCCTGACTCTGCAGACCTTCTCTCTTCCACAAGGCCCTTCCCATAACCTCTGGGCCATACTCAGGGAAGGCTGCATGGCACAAGACAAAGATCACTGACTATGGTACTTGTCCTTCCCCACTTACAGGGCATTGATGCTAACCTCTGTGGGCTTTGGTTTTTCCATCTGTGAAACGGGGGTGACAACAGGTGCTCTGTGGGTTAGTAGATATATTGGAAGGGGACTTGATAGTTATGGGTTCCTGCCCTGCCCAAAATCTTAGTGCTGTGTGCCATGGGCCCACATCACACACTTCTCAGGTATGGAATCCATCAGCCCATGTAGGATGCCATTAATTAGTACCTTGAAGCTAGGGACCAATGCCAGCACTACTCTGTATGCCTCCATATCCTGAGCCAGTGCTAACCTGGGGCCTGCCTGAATGTCCCAGTGCTTTCTCTAGTGATCTAGGCCCTTTTTATGGTACCTCATTACTCTGAGGACCAAGTCCTGAGTTCCTACCTTTGCCCATTTCCAAAGCCTTCAGGATTCTGTCCCTATGTACTCTGGCATCACCTCCAGACACTGCTGGACTATGAGGTACTCAACACTTACAGGGCTGCTTCCTGCCTGTGCCTGGGGAACCCTCTCTCTTCCTTGCCTTCAGCTCCTTATCTGCCGCCTCTCAGTATCATCTCAGTGTTGATGCCCTTCCTTTGGGAGGCTTTGCTTATCCCTCTGAGAGTGGTCTGAGCTAAAACCTTGGAGGGATGTCCTACCTGTTTCCATATTTCACACACTATGGACCTCCTTTCTCCTGACCTGTGAGCCCTGTACAGGCAGGAATAGACCTGAACTCACCATTTCATCCCCATCCTAGCTTGACAGCTGGCAGGTACTGACATTTCTGGGTATCAGCTGGAGAAAACAAATGTCTTTCACTGCTACTGGACCTAGAGCCAGCAGTGACCTGGGTTCAGAGCCAATGGCTGCTGTTCTGCCAGAGGGGTTTGTCCTTTGGGGATGTGGAGGTGGGAGTGGGGTGGAAGCTAAGGGCTGACTCACAAGGAATCTGAAGTTAGTCTAGACCAGGACTGAGCCCCAGGGGGCCTGCAAAGCAGGAGTCAGCTCTAATTGATAGGCTCTCTTGTCCTAGTGCTCTGGC